AGCATTGTCACAGACTGCTTATCCCCCTTAGCAAATAATAACAGGTCATCTGCAAAACTCAAGTGAGTAATGCCTAGTTTTTTGCACTTTGGGTGGAAGCTGAATTGTTTCTTGTCCTTCAGTTCTTTCAGTAGCCTACTGAAGTATTCCATGGCTATAGCAAATAGGAAGGGTGACATTGGATCACCTTGTCTGAGACCTTTTGCTGCATGGAAAGGTTCAGCCAATTCACCATTGATCAATATAGAATAACTCACACTTTGGATACAAGCTGCTATCCATTATGTAAATCTGTAAGGGAATCCCAATCCTTCCATAACCTGTAGGACATAACTCCATTCCACACTGTCATAGGCTTTTTGCAGGTCCACTTTGATCATGGATCTAGGTGATATGTGCTTTCTTGAGTAGGCTCTAATCAGTTTATGGGCTAGAATAGTATTGTCTGCACCTTTCCTTCCAGGTATAAAGCCAGCTTGTGCCTCATCAATTATGTAGTTCATAACTTTCTGCAGCCTGGATGCTAAAAGCTTAGCAATGATTTTGTACAGAACTGAGCAGCAAGATATAGGCCTATAATCTTTTATAGTAGCAGGATTAGAAATCTTGGGTAATAGAGTGACAGTTGTGCAATTAATGACCCTGGGCATTGTTCCTGTTTCAAAGAACTCTATGACAGCTTCATAAACATCTTCCTTCACTATATCCCATGCTTTCTTAAAAAATACTGCATTGTACCCATCAATCCCAGGAGCTTTATCATTTCCGATAGCCTGAATACATTCATCAACTTCCTGTCTGGTTACAGCTTTAATCAACTCCATAGATTGTTGTTGAGTTAGTTGAGGTCCCTTCTTCATTGTTTGCATATTCACAGCAGGTAATTGAGCAACAGCTTTTCCCATAAGTGATTTGTAAAAGTCTACAATCTCTCTCTTGATACTCTTTGACTCTGTCAGCATATTACCATTCAAAGCTGTTAGGGTTGTAATGTTTTTCCTGCATGCTCTTTCTTTCATCACTGCAAAGAAGTATTTATTGTTTCCATCTCCTGTTCTGATCCATTGAGCTCTTGATTTTTGTTGGAAAATCTTTTCTTCAATGAGTGACCATTTCTCTAGTTTTTCTCTAGCTGCTTTCTCCATCATTCTTAATTGATCAGTGTTGCCATTCTTCATCTCTTGTTGACATTCAATTATCTCCCTTCTTGCTTGGTCAATTTTCCCTGCTGCATCTCTGAAATTCCTGTTGTTTAAACTCTTGAAATCTGCTTTCATTTCCTTCATTCTATTCCATATGGTTACTAGTTTGCACTGATGTTGTCTTCCTTGCCATCCTTTAGTAACTATGCTTTGGAATGCCTCATGCTCAGCCCAAACATTTAAGAACCTAAATGGGATTTTTACAGACTTCCTTTGTTCAAACTTCAGGGACAAAGGAGAATGATCTGATATGAATGGATCTCCCACTTCAACTGTTAGGTGCCCAAACTTCATCATCCATTCACTATTTCTTAGTGCTCTATCAATTATACTAATTACTCTCTCCACTCCCATTTGACCATTAGACCAGGTGAAATAGTCTCCCCTCCAAGGAATATCAGTAGTCATGGTATCTAAGCAAAAATCTGCAAAGTCTTGGATATCAGCCAATGTTACTTCCTGTCTTGATATTCTATCTTGAGTAGTCTTATTTGCATTAAAGTCTCCCCATATGAGCCATGGTTGATTAATAGATTGAGCCAGTATCTTTAGTTTGTGCCACAATCCTTTCCTCAAGTCTGCATTATTATATCCATATGTCACAGTCATAGCACAATTCACATTAGTGCTAGTAACATTACAATGAATAAACTGTGCATCCTTAACCACTATATCCACCTGCCAAGTGTTTGTATCAAACATAATCCATATTCTACCATTAGCTGCTTGGTCATAGTTGTGCACCAGTTCCCAGTTATGAGCTATTTTAGGGGAAATTATAGAAGCTTTATGCTGTTTAACTCTAGTCTCTAAAAATCCAGCTAGTGTTATGTGTTTGTCTTTGATGTATTTAGCTAACTCTTTCTGTTTATGCCTTTGGTTTGCCCCCCTTACATTCCACATAAGCATTGTCATTTCAGATGATCATTTGTACCACCTCTATCTGGTGGTTGCCTATCCTCTTGTCCTCCTTCTAGAATCCCAAATGCATTTTGTGTGGCAATAGAGAAATTCATACCAATCTGTGCATTGCTAGAACTAGTAGCACCTTCATTTTGCCCCTTTGAGTTAGTCTCTTTCCCATTCTTCTGATTGTGCTCCTGTGTCTTTGTCATTGCTGTCCTACTAGTTCTAGGGGATTTGTTGTGCTCCATATTCTGTGCAGGTTCCTTAACATTTGTCACAGCTTGATCAGTTATTGTCTGTGCTACACTTGTGTTCCGTGCCATCTTTTCCTTGCTTCTCCACTCTTTGACTGGTTGCTGTGTCTTTCCATTTGGTTTCTGCATTTGCTTCCTTTGCATTTCCTCATTTCGTTTACACACATGTCCCATTTGTTGACATTCAGGGCAGAACTCAGGCTGCCATTCAAACCTCACCACTTGCTGGTGTAACTTTCCCGATGGATCCCTTATTTTGACTTCATTTGGCAATGGTTTCGTAATGTTAACTTCAATCAACATCCTAACAAACGATATTCTAGATTGCTTAGCTGTACATTCATCTGCAAATAAGGGAATTCCAATTGCACTCCCTAGCCTGCTAAGCGAGTCCTTACTCCAGTAGGTCATAGGTAAATTGGGAAAAGAGACCCATAAAGGTATCTCTTTCAGAAAAGTGGCATCAAACTCAGCATCTGGAGACCATTTCTTCAGAATGATTGGTCTATTGTTTATCGTGTACGGCCCTCCATATAACACTTCCTTCAAATCTTCTTCACCCTGTAAACTTTGCTATGTAATATCCCCTGTCATGCCAGAATAGCTCAGAACATGTCGTAGACCAATTTTGATTTATGTATCGCTTCATGTGATTATACCCAGGAATTTACCCAATTACCGCAACAATCAATGAATGTTTCCATTTTTCAGCTTCCCTTGCTGTCTCCTTAGGATCTAGTTGAATAACTACACTTTCGTCAACAATCGTCGGTGGAATGTAAGACAAAGCAAGGCAATTAGAAGCCATTCTATTCCTAGCGAACAAATTTGCCCATACCGGGGCTTCTGCATCTTTGTTTGGTTCCGATCTCTGAGAATTTTCACTTGCATGTACAGTTGTTTGAATTTTTTCTATGATCGTTACATTCGAAGATGAAGGCATGCAATCATTCAGCATTTTACTCTTCCCATTATCAACCTTTGTTGTTCTAACTTCCTCAGTTACTTCTATGTAATTGTTCAAAGTAGAATTGTTACCATTCATTTCCGCCATTGATGCTTCCGTCGGTGTTGTTGGTTGCGATTTCTGAGAAATTACAGATGTTGATGGAGATGAATTTGACGATAGTGAGCTTCCTAGTGCTAGAATTTGTGTTTTCCTTGGTCTTCCTGGTCCATTCCCTTTGCCTCTCGCCATTGATAGCCACTTTCCCCGCCAAACGTAGCCACCGCTTGGTGGAGATCGTCAATGGAGAAGAAAATATTATTTCTGTTTTTACAAAAACATTGTTTTAGAAAATATTATTCAGTTCTTTTGTAAAAACTGGAAAAAATATTTCCTTTTATTTTTATTCAGTTTTTAGTAAAAAAAAAAACTTTTAGAAAAATTGCTAAAAACTGGAAAAAAATATTTTGATTTTAATTAATTAAAAAAAGAAAAGAAAAAATACTGTTTTCGTTAAAAAAGGGCAAATTTGCACAACTATTGGACAGTTTGGGCATATTTGGGCCAAACTATTAACGACTAGCATATTTGTCCTATTTCAAATAGTTCACGAGCATATTTGGACCTTTTCCGTTAAAGTAATAATACGATACAATACAATCGGTAACAATCATCCAAACAAGCTAAAATAAGAAAGTTTCTAAATTACTAATAGATCTTAAAAATGAGTGCACATAAAATGTTTATTTTTTTAATGTGTTGCTAAAGTTATTTTTGAAAACTAAAAAAAGAGACAAGTTAACTTACTACAATCATATACTAGTAGTAGATTAGTAAACCTCATATAGATAAAAATCTTGACGTTGAGTTGTTATTTATTCCCGTTTTACTCCTTATGATATTTGACTAATTACATTTAACTTTTAATTAATAGAAAGTGTGATTTTTTTAAGTTTTTCATTCGGTCTTCGGTATCCGTATTAGGGCCTGACTAAATTCAGATTCGCACCTGGAAGTCCCATACTGGGGAATAAAATACTTTCTAATAAAGGCAACTCCATACTAAGGCTCAAACTCGAGACCTCTTAGATGAAGGAATACTTCCCGCTCTATTACTATACTTGTCACGGGGAAAGTGTGATTTTTAACTCTAACGCTAATACTGTAGAAGTTAAAAGAGAAAATGGAATTTTTACTTCTACAAAGAGCAATTTATGTCACCTGAGTTAAATAAGATTCTGCAATTTTAAAAAAGAAAAAATAAATTAAAAGTACCTTCGTATATTTTATTTTTTTACGAGGTATAGTTAAATAAAATTTTCCGTCGTTTTCCATTTCTCTACAAAAACTGTGTAAAATCCGTCAATTTCTCCTCCATTTTCACTCTCAAATCTCAAACTCCAATGGACGAAAGTCATCCTTTCTCTATACCCAATTCAGCTCCATCTCTGAAGCAGAAGTTGAAGAACTCCCTTTGCTTCTCCTGTTGCTTCCCTCACCGCCACCCTTCTCCTCCGCCTCCGCCGTCATCCTCCGATGAGAATCCGGCGCTGATTTGGGAACCCAATAACCTGCCGAATTTGAAAGAAAAGGTTTTAATGGTTTTCAACTTCGGATCGAACCGGCACAAGAGAAACTCCTCCACTGAGCAGTTCCGTTATGATCCGTTGAGTTACTCGCTGAATTTCGAAGATGGGTTTGATGATGAAGAAGCCCCTTTGGGTAATTTCACTTCTAGACTCCCTCCTTCCCCGCCTGTGAAACCTATGTCTGTGAGAGAAGTTACTGCTGCTAGTTAAAGTAATTTATGTATAGTAATACTGAGTGTTTTTTATTAGCAGTAATTTTACCTTTTTTGCTCTTTTTTATTACAAAAGTTGAGGTTGATTTTGTACATAGGTTAAATTTTAATCTTAAAAATCTTTGCCTTTTTGCCCTTTTTATACCTTCTTGCTTATGCGAGATTGTTTGTATATTACCTCTATTGCTGTGGCTTGTAGGAAAATTAGGGGGAGAAAGAACTCAAAATTCAGTGACATATTGAATTTTGATTTAGAAATTTTTTCTTTTTGCACATAGAATTTCATATTCAAGTAGATTTCACCTGTAAATTGTCATAGAATTGGCCTGTCATCCACCTGCCATTTTACTTGGTTCAAAAGGCTCCTTGTTTATTTTATTAATTATCAGATAATACTTTGTTTCAAATACTATTTTTCTTTACTGGTTAGTGCTAATTGAGCTTATGGACTGCTGCTAGCAGATTCAGCTAAATAATGTTCTGAAATTATTCCTATTATTGGATAGACAGAAGCCTTGGTTTTGTTAGTTTTTGATATACTTAGGTCTGAGGATTTTCTTTTTTGGGTAAAAGGGAGAAATATATTACTAATAACTAGTTAAATCTAGTACAAAGTGGTGAGTTTATGCTTTCTAGAGCATAGTAGTTTCTCAATAGCTCTAACAGAGGTTGCTCTTCTTCCTTAGCCATGCTACTGCCTTTTGTTCTCGAAAGCTATGCTGGATTCCCCCCCTCCCCAGCTGGCTCATCAGCAACCTGCTGTCATGCATTGTAGAAATGTATGCATTTCTATTTGAGTTTAACAAGCTCATAACCTCTGTTGAATCTGTTTAACTTTCCAGAAGTTTTAGGGCATGCTCTACAGCTTAGCTTTTGCCCATGCAAGCACGGGCAGACCAGGGGATTCGCATGCTATATATTCTAGGTCAAAGTTATTATTTATGTATATATTGTATATGTTGAATCCCTTTAACTTCTTCATATATCTACTTTTATATTTTGAACCCCGTTATTGAAATTCCTGGCTTTGCCATGACGTGCAATGCCAGTAGTTCAGCTTGTGTATGATTTGATGCGGGTACTACTGTAATAGCCTAACACCCAGGGCTCCTCTTTATTCCTGATTACTCTGCCAATGCCTCCTTTGTTTAGACGTCCCTTCACCGATCCATCTACATTAAAGTTTAAAATATCCAGCTAATGGTGGCTGCCATCTTCCCTGAAAGGTTAGTATAGTGCTGCGCATTCGTTCATCATTAGTTAGCAGCTTAAATTCCGCAGCTCTCATATGCACATTCGCTAGGGAAATATTGTTATCACTATTATTATTGTGGTTGTTCTTTCTGTTTATCCATAGGCAGAAAGGGAAACAGTTCCTTAACAAGGTTATTACCTCTATTTTCTTGTTTGGGTTGTATGAAGTCAGAATTCAGACACATGCTGAATTTTGATTTGGAATTTGTGTTTGCTGAATTTGGCATGTATTTCATCTTTATAGTAGAGTTATATACCTGCTATTATTTTAGTTTGGTCCAAAGGCATATTTTTCTTTACTGGTTTAATGCTGCTTGAGATTATGGACTGGTGCGAAGAGATTCAGCTAAATAATTTTTTGGAATAATACCAATTGTCGTCTTTTATTATTGGAAAACAGTTGTTCAATAGATGAAGCTCTTGATTCAATGATATAGGGGAAGTTGAATTTAGTTTTGGTAGTTTTTAAAATATTAGGTGGTTCGGGCACGTGCAAAGAAGAAGCCCAGATGGTTGCCTTGGCGGGTTCGAGAAGAGGCAGACGGCGGCCTAAGAAGTATTGGGGAGAAGTGATCAGGCGGGACATGGCGTGGCTTAGATTTCCGAGGACATGGCCCTTAATAGGAAGGTGTGGAGATCGAGCATTATGGTGTTAGGATAGGAGGCAGCTGATAAAGTTCGTCCGTGGGGGAGGCTGGTTTGATAAGGTTGGGTCCTAGGCTGTTACCGATTATTGTTGTGTCCACACTATTCTTTCGTTTTTCATAGTATCGGGCTTTATGCACTAGTTTTTGTTATTATTTCTCATCTATTTTCTGGTTCTTATGCTGTTGTTATTGCTCATATGGTTCTGTTGATGGTACTGACATTTTGTCTCTCTCGTCTCTTTTTGTTTTCTTGAGCCGAGGGTATTTCGGAAACAACCTCTCTAACCTTCGGGGTAGGATTAAGGTCTGCGCGTATACTTTATACTCCCCAGACTCCATTTGTGGGAACTCACTGGGTTGTTATTGTTGTTGTTAGAGTGGAGTTTTAACTATGAGACAATTGTGAGAACGCTTTTTTATAATCTAGGAATCCCGAGCAATTCATTTAGCACACACAATTCAAATTAAGTGAACAATGGATCTGCTTCTTCATTCTTTTCTACTTAAATATCAAACTTTTGTTTGTAGCACGATTCGAATCAGAGATGTTCGCCTACACACATCATGCACCGCGCTCTACAATTTCGACAATATTGCATCTCCAACGTGTTATTTGAACTTCTCGTTGTAAGTTCCTTTTGTTTTCATAAGGTAGGGGTAAGGTTTGCGTACATATTACTCCCCCAGGCTTTACTTGTGAAATTACAATGGAGTTGTTGTTGTTGTTATCAAGTTTCTTTAGCTATTCAAGGATAATGATACATTTTTATTAACTTAGTACTCCCTCCGGTTCACAATAAGTGTCCAATTTATTTTTTTCATTTTGGTTCAAAATAAGTGTCTAGTTATGTAATCAAGAAAGAATTCAATTTATTTTTACAAAATAACCCCTATGTGTATATCCCTAAAAAGTTTTCTTACTCCTCACATTAAATAAATAATTAGGGGTAGTTTAGTCATAGTAGGTATTTTTGTATAGAATTTAGTATTTTTTTAATGGTCGTGCTAAAAGCAAATTGGACACTTATTGTAAACTAAGGGAGTAATATTTTATTACACCTACCATATCTGACACTTTATATAAAATTATTAAACCTGCCGTACCTCTTAAAATGGAAAACTTTCGTGTAAATATGTACGTAGTAAAACTTTGAAGATTTCAGACAAAATGGAAGTATTGGTCAATGGTAATTCTTTTTGAACAATACTAAGAGCCGTTTGGACATAAAAAAAATTCATTTTTTTCGAATCAGTGTTTGGCCATACAATTTTCAATTTTCACTTGAAGATGAATTTTGAAATTTTTCGAAAATTTGAAAAACTCCAAAAAGCTATTTTTCAAAATTTTACTTAGATTGCTCACAAAAATTCAAAAATAACCCAAAATTATATTCATGTACAAACACAACTTTAATTTTCAAATACCATTTTCACTTGAAAAAAAATTACTTTTTTTTTTAAATTGTACAATTCTTATGTCCAAACGCCCACTAATTAGTTGCTTGCGTTGAGAATGCTGGCACTTATTAGTTTTTAGCTTGTTATGGGCTAATCTTGGAAGTTCAAGTTGGTATGGTATTAGCATGAAGAATTGAGTGATCTTTTTCCATCCGGCTATGTTATGATTGCGAAATCATTCCGTACATGTAATAATACGAGTTACAGATATATGATGAAATAATTAAAGTGGACGCAATTTAACCTAAACAACCATAAGAATTTAGCTTTAAAAGATATACTAGCAATTTTGGGTTGAGGAGCTAAAAGATATCTCGAAGTTTCACCTTCGAAAACAAAGATTGTTTGGTAAAGATGGTAATCGCACGTTGCAGTAGTTCTGCTAAAGGGGTCAAAAGAGAATTCCCTCCTTTTTTTATTTTATTTTATTTATAAATATAAGACCATAGTAGAGACTCTGTCATTGGATAAGAATATGACTTGCATATGACTCATACTTTTTGTAAGATCACGAGATGTTTTTTTGTCGGCAAAAAGGAAAAACAAAAAGAAAAAGAAAATAAAAGATTCAGTATTAGATTACACAAAAGAATAGCTAGCATATATTTGGATGCAGGTGGGCATTAGTCAGCATCATGAGATGTGCACATGACATAATCCACAGTACACTTTGGTTAATGAATGACTTGATTAGTATCATTTCAATGTCATGATTATAAAAGCAAACATCAATGTACACGATTTTACCTTCAATGCCTTCTGGGGTTCGAGCATGGCGAGGACTTGCCTAATGCGGTTTACATTTCATATATAGTTTACAGGCTATTACACTGTCATGATCCAGATTTCCCACCCTCGAGAGTCGTGATGGCGCCTACTAATGAGAGCTAGGCAAGCCAATTATTGAGCAGTTTAACTTTACCCATTTTTACACCTTTTTAACAATTTCGAAATAATAACATTTAAACAGCGGAATTTAACATAAGCTGAAGAAAGAAACAATAAGCTATCTGAACATGAATATCTAATACAACTGTTTGAGTCTCGACTACCCAGTACTGGTGTCACAGTTTCACAGACGGTCTAAGAATACTACAAACAAAGGTCTGAAAGAAATAAATACAGCACTGTCTCTGGCAAAGCATGAAAGAAACATGAATAGTAGATAGAAGGAGACGCCAAGGCCTGCCGACGCCTGCAGGACTACCTCGGGTCGCCTGATGAACGAGAATCATCAATCCCACTGCGGTCCGAAGTCTACAACACTGGGGTCTGCACAAAAGAGTGCAGAGTGTAGTATCAACACAACCGACCCCATGTGCTGGTAAGTGCCTAGCCTAACCTCGGCGAAGTAGTGACGAGGTTAGGACCAGACTACCAAATAAGCCTGCGCAATTCAACTATATACAGCGGAAAAGAAGAACAGTAATATACGGTCAAGTATGGGAGGGGGAAACATGCTGCGGGGAAACATCGAATAGTAACAGAAGAGCAACAAATAAATATGAGAATCACCATAGTTCAATTGAAAATGAGAAGGGGAAATCATGTTGCGGGGTACAACAAGTATTAACAGCAAACCAGCAATTTAAATGTAGGGAAACCGTAACTCAGTTATCAAATAAAAATAGGAAATCAAAGACAAGTGCACGGCATCACCCTTCGTGCTTTTACTCTTTCTCACCAAAACAATACACGGCGTCACCCTTCGTGCTTTAACACTCTCTCACCAAAACAATACACGGCATCACCCTTCGTGCTTTACGCTCTTCCTCACCCAAACAACAATCACAAGGCAAATAGGGTAAGGGAATCTATAACCTCGAAATAAAATCAAGTAANCGATAGTAGCCTGCCAACCCCAAGAAACCCCGAATCTCTGTAGCTGATGCTGGTCTAGGCCAGTTCTTGACTGCCTGAATCTTCTACGGATCAACCTGAATACCCTCTGCTGATACACCGTGACCCAGGAATGCAACTGAACTCAACTCACACTTCGAAAACTTAGCATACAACTGTCTATCCCTCAGAGTCTGAAGAACCACTCTAAGGTGCTGCTCGTGCTCCTCCCGGCTGCGGGAATATATCAAAATATCATCAATGAAGACTATCACGAACGAATCCAAGTAAGGCCTGAACACTCGGTTCATCAAATCCATAAAAGCTGCTGGGGCATTTGTCAACCCGAATGACATCACCAAGAACTCATAATTCCCGTACCAAGTGTGAAAAGCTGTCTTAGGGACATCGGATGCCCTAATCCTCAACTGATGGTAGCCCGATCTCAAGTCAATCTTTGAAAATACCTTTGCACCCTGAAGCTGATCAAACAAATCATCAATCCTCGGCAGCGGATACTTATGCTTGATCGTAACCTTGTTCAATTGCTGGTAATCAATACACATTCTCATCGACCCATCCTTCTTCTTAACAAACAACACCAGCGCACCCCAAGGCGAAACATTGGGTCTAACGAAACCCTTCTCAAGCAAGTCTACACGAGTCTCAAGACCTCCAATAACCACTATACATGAACAATGGACGCGATCCACCACAATAGAATCACCCACCGTCATAGACACATATACAGGGGCACTCAAAGAATCACTAGGCATGACCAGGTACGGCGCAAAATAAAACTAAAGCTTCTCTACCACAAACCAGAACAATACCTGCACCTCCACCTCTAATACCTTTACCTCCACCTCTAGCATCTCTACATCCACCTCTAATACCTCTACCTCCCCCTCTAATACCTCTCTCTGAGTGATGTGGAGAAACTTCTCCAGAAATAGCTGCGTGAACTGCTCCCAAGTCGAAGCTGGCGATCCGGCTGGTCTAGCCAAGCAATAATCTCTCCACCAAGTCTTGGCGGATCCAGACAAGCGAAAAGTAGCAAAATCGACCCCATTGGTCTCAACTATCCCCATGTTTCTGAGAACCTCATGACAGCTGTGTTGATAATCCTGAGGATCCTCAGTAGATGCACCGCTGAATGTAATGGTGAAGAGCTTGGGGAAACTTATCCAATCTCCACAAAGCCTCCGAAGACGTAGCTGATATATCACCGGTCTATGCCGCTGCCCGGCTGAAGAAGCGGTACATGACCTCTCCATTCGCGAAAGGACAAGAGTAGAGGTTTCAATTTAGCATTGAGAGAACAAAGTCGCACGACAGGAAAGAATGAATGTGAAGTTTTTCCTAACTCTGTAGCCTCTGGGGGATAAATACAGACGTCTCTGTACCGATCCCTCAGACTTTACTAAGCTTGTCTGTGAACTGTGAGACCCATGAAACCTAGAGCTCTAATACCAACTTGTCACGACCCAGATTTCCCACCCTCGGGAGTCGTGATGGCACCTACTAATGAGAGCTAGGCAAGCCAATTATTGAACAGTTGACTTTTACCCATTTTTTGCCTTTTTAACAATTTCGAAATAATAACATTTAAACAACAGAATTTAACATAAGCGGAAGAAAGAAACAATAAGCTATCTGAACATGAATATCTAATACAACTGTTTGAGTCTCGACTACCCAGAACTGGTGTCACAGTTTCACAGACGGTCTAAGAATACTACAAACAAAGGTCTGAAATAAATAAATACAACACTGTCTCTGGCAAAGCATGAAAGAAACATGAATAGTAGATAGAAGGAGACGCCAAAGCCTGCAGACGCCTGCAGGACTACCTCGGGTCGCATGATGAACGAGAATCAGCAACCCCACTGCGGTCCGAAGTCTACAACACTGGGGTCTTCACAAAAGAG